GATGCTTCAGTATAGCGAAGATTAATCCGGAACGGATTAACCTCGCTATGCGAGGCACCACTGTACATATATACATATATATATATATATATATATACATAGATATACACACACACACACACACACACACATAAAAATACAACTAAAGAAAATCTACGCATGCATATACTGTGCTCCCCTTCACTGGGACCAATGGAGTTAAATTATTCCTTCCCAAAAACTCATTGACTCTTGCGAAGGTACACAACCCCTTTTGTTAATACAAAGTTAATTAATTCTCTCTATAGATCTCCAAACACATTCTTTCTCAACATTCCTTCTTATTCTAATTTTGCATGTTAATTCATCATTAATAGCTATATTCCACACTTTCAGGGTGTTCTGGCTCTTTACTCTCCTCAACAGAAGTCACAGTCCTCCGAAACTAAACATATTGGCATAGAGGACTTATAAATAATAAAAACCAAGTTAAAAGTTAAATAATGAAAACCTTTTGTCCTACTGATTTTGTATCATTTCTATATGCTTGCTGGGGTGAAGGAGAGTCAGTTCAGGTCCTGCCGGACTGGTGGTATTGTATCCATTCCATACCTTTTTTTAATGAAACATTTCTAGAAATGGACATGTTGGCGGCTCTCCAACCACCCTCATTTTTCCATTTCCATATTAAAGCCCTAACAGAACCTTCCTTTTCTGGCAGAAGCCACGCAGGCTCAGCTGATGTCTCGGAGGGCATCTCGCGGTGTTCTGGCTGCTTTGCACATGCTGTCGGAAGACCAAAGAGCGATCTAACTGCCCTCCTTATTCCTTCAACAGGACGGAGTTCTTTGAAGGCTGCAAAGCAATAAACGCGGACAGCATAGATGGGATTTGCACCCGGTTCCCTAGCCTCCTCAACGAAGCCAAACAAGAGGATAAGTTCAAGGATCTCTACCGTTTCACTTTCCAGTTTGGCCTGGACTCGGAAGAGGGGCAGCGATCACTCCATCGAGAAATTGCGATTGCCCTCTGGAAACTAGTCTTCACACAAAACAAGCCCCCTATTTTGGACCAGTGGTTATATTTCTTGATCGAGAACCCCTCAGGAATCAAGGGAATCTCCCGGGACACGTGGAACATGTTCCTAAATTTTACTCAGGTCATTGGGCCGGACCTTAGCAATTACAGCGAGGACGAGGCTTGGCCCAGTCTTTTTGATACCTTTGTGGAATGGGAATTGGAGCGACGGAAGAAGGAAGAGGACACCCCGTGCATTGCAGCGTCACAGACAGCAAGCCTGTGTACAGACCATCATCAGACTTAGCAGCATTTTAACGCAGCGGGCAGCTGTCCCCTGTTAACCCTTCATCACCCATAAGCTCTGGACTCTTCTGGAATTTACAGGCTCCGGATTTTTCTACTTTACACCTTTCTCTGCCTTGTATTTTGAAAGGGCTCTAAAATGCTGTATCTATATTTTAGGCACTTTCTTTAAATTCTGGGTTATTCCTGTTTCTTTTCCTGAAATGTTTGACCCCTGGCTGCAAGTTAAATGATTTTTTAATGGTTTGAGATTTGGTATAATTACATCTTGATGTTGGTTATTGCAAGTTTTTTTTTTTTAAAAAAAAACACACACACTTTTTGGTGAGGTTAAATTAACATCGCTAAATTATACGGTAGCAGATAGAAGTTCTGCAAATTTACTTTTTTTAAAAAAAATAATTTTCAAGTCAGGTCTATACTGTGTGTAGTGTTGTTTACATTGTTGATTTTTTAAAGGTTGTAATAATTTTAAAATTTATACCATGAAGTAATAACAGTGTTAACTGTTAACTATACATGCATTTAATTCCCAGGTAAATAAGATGTTGAAAGCCAATGAAAGCAGCAGGAATTTGTGTATATGTGGCATGGCTAACTTGTTTTATGTTGGACCCTGGTATATATGCAGATCTGCTCTTTTTGTTTAAAAGAATCTCCTGAACCTGCCAGTCAGCTGATTGTTAATGATATTTTCAAACCATTGGTCAGCAACTGTACTTTGCTTATTGCTCTCCAAGAACTTGGAGTTCTAGTCCACCCCCACCTCCAAAGTCTGCCGTAGTCTGAGGATGTTTTGACAGTTCTTTTCAGCCACATTGATAGGATGCCCAGCTAATATTCTAAGGATCTAGGACTCTCCACACTCATCCATCCTGCCACTGAGAAATAGCCATCTTTATGGGGAAATGTTAAAGGTCCATAAATGTTAATGGAAGCAGGTTCTGGTCACCAAAGCAAATGAGACAGAGAGCAGGTTACTAACTGGCCATTTCTTGCTTTGCCTCAGGTGGGATGGAGCAATGTTGCCCCAGTTCTGAAGACGGGGATGGTGTTTTCATGATAATGTGAACATTGGCTTTTAATCTGGGGGGGGGTAACCACATTTTCGCACTAACACACTGGAAACACCATCCTGAGTCTAGAATAAAAGTGGCCTTCAAAACTGGGGTAACGCTTCTCTGTCACACCTGATGGAAAGCAAGGGATAGCCAGTTAGTAAAAGTTGTTGATGGTTCTTTGGGGTTTTATTAACTTTGATAGAAGTGATGATTTTTCCTCTGCAGGAGACGGGGGGGGGATAAAATCTCTAATTTAACTTTTATATAATTGATTCTTGGATAAAAACATTGCCTTCTGTGACTTGTAAGTGCAGTATTTTCATCTGAGCATTTATAGCTGTATTTTAAAAGAGCCTTGAAATTGTAGCAATCACTTCTTTCCTGCGTGGGGGAATTTGCACATGAGAAGTAGGATTTTCACTCTGTTTCCAGGAGTGGCTTTTGTGCTATGCTGGTCACCTGGGAAGGCAGTGACAGAAGATCCTGCATCAATTAGAGTTCTATTTGTTGTACTACTGCTGGGGGCCCAGGCGTAAGCAAGGGAGTTGGAGAAAGAAAGATGGCAGCCCTATTTAGAATAATCCCGTTGGCACTGGTATATGCATCTCGTTTTGGTCCGAGAACAATGTTTTTAAATAGGATTCATTTTCTATTGCTTTTTACGTGTTACCTATATTTGGGACTGTTTGCTTGCTTGGTACTGTTGTGACCTCTAAAAAGGGAGCTTTATTTACACTGCCTGAAATTATTTTTGTTACTTGCTTTTTGGGAAAACACACACCAATCCCCACAACAACAACAAAAATAAAGCTAAAAGCACCACATACACTCTCTGTATATAGAGAGATATTGATACAGACACACACACACACATACACATTGTTAACATTTTAAAGCTTGGTAAAAGGGACAGCTGCTGAGGCTTTTGCCTGACATGAGCCAGACGTTCATATTACAGTTTTAAATTTATACAAAAGCTCTCAAAGTAGTTTTGGTTTAAAACAATGGCAATTAAGGTGCTGGCCCATTTGGGTTCCAATGATGAACCCATACATTCCACAATGAGGCTGTAACCAGCTTGAGAGGGATGGGTGGCTGACGTCCTCTGAACGGTGGGCTGAGCAGCAGGTATGTGGGCAGAACCTCCTTTGGCAGCTTCTGGCCAGAATGGAGTACAGCTTCCATCATCCCCATGGAAGTGCTAGCTGATGATGGTGACGGTTGTACACCAGCACATCTGGAGGGGACCATGTTGGGGAGAATGGGCTACTCTTTGCAATTGATTCTGCTGTGTTCTGTTTGTGCAGTGTGTGGTGAGCATGCTTGTCCATCGTTCCTGTACTGCCGCTGCAGCCCTTTCAGCAGCAGAACAAGCCTGAGGACACCCTGCCTAGCCATAGGATTTTCCTTTTCCTCCCAAAGACGTTTGCATGGGCTCACTTGCATTGCCCCTGTCAGGTCCTTCCATAAATACCATCAAACTCTTCTAGATCTTAAATTGCTAACAGTCCTGGGACAAGTTAAGCATAAATACTTGAAATTCACATCCTCTGTCACTTGCCAAGACCAGAGGTTGACACTCATTTGTGTTCTTCTAAAAGTTAATATTGACTGCATTAAAATATCTTTTTAAAAATTGTGCAAATGCTATCAGAGGTGCTGTTTTTAAGGTGTAGCTGCATTCCGTGGCTGCAGACTCGTGGGGCCCTGTTCTTGAGTCCAGATAGGAAGTTCTCTTTTTTTAAATGTTAAGGCTGCATGTGCATTATGTTTGTTGTCATCTTTTTGGTTTCATTGCAAAGGAAGTTTTGTGCCTAAAAATTGGGGGATGGGGAGCTCTCTTGTCTTGATGTGTGAAAATCAGTCCAGAAGGCCTTGAACCTCCAGCTTGATCTTGTAAAGTATTTAACCAGCTGTTCAAAGGTTTGGCCCAGAGGACTTAAGAACAAGCCTTGATTATTAAACACATAATGAGCGACAGCAATTCTGTGTGTTTTGAGTTCTCTGTCTAGAGAGACACTGGTGGGGGGGGATATACAGTGGTGCCCCGCTTGACAACAATTGAGACACTGATGGGGGGATATACAGTGGTGCCCCGTTTGACAACAATAATCCGTTCCAGGAAAATTGCTTTTAAGTGATATCATCGTCAAGTGGGGAAAAAAACCATTGGAATGGGCATAAAACCATTGGAATGCACTGAAAACCGGTCAGTGCATTCCAATGGAAATACCTCATCATCCAGCAAAGATTGTCCATAGAGAACCGCTGATCAGCTGTTCAAAATCGCTGTAATGCGGTTTCCCTCTGGAAAGCAGCCATTTTGAGAAGGGAGGGAAGTCATTTTGCGGAACCGGAAAAATCATCGTATAGCGAACAAACGGTTCGCGAAGCAGGCTCCTAATCAACGTGATGCAGATTTCCCCCATAGGAACCATCGTTTTTGATCACAATAACGATTGCAAAAATGTCATCATTAAGCGATTTTGACGTCATGCGAGGTAAGCGTATAGCGGGGCACCACTGTACTGCAGTAGCTCTGGAAGAATCAACAACATGCCAGTTTATAGTGGGGCACCACTGTACTGCATTAGCTCTGGAAGAATCAACAACATGCCAGTGTTAGGTGGCAGATTTACATGAATCCTGTGTGTGTCTGTGTCAGGTGTGCTCCTTTGCCTCTCCCAGGTGGGAGTGGATGGAGGGATGTATTTTGACTGCAGTTGGGGAAGGCAAGCCCTCCTAAATTTTTGTAGCTGTAACTTCCAGTGTTCTTCCCCCTTGGATGTGCTGGTTTGGTCTGATAGGAACTGCAGTGTACTTTGCCCACCTCTGACTTGTAATGGTGGAAGACAAATAGCCGAGCAAATGTAGCTAAACTAGAGTTAGTTGGCTCTGCTTCCACTCTCTGCCCCACTAGTCCTGGTGAGGATCACCCCTTTGTGTGAGAAAAAGATGGGAGGGTGGGGTTGGTATGGAGCCCAGCATGACTTTTGGGACTGAGGATCAACCCTTTGTGTGAGCAAAAGATGGGAGGCTGGGGTTGGTATGGAGCCTGGTATGGAGCCCAGCATGACTTTTGGGACTTTTTTCTAGAACGCCCTTGGGCCACCTGGCAGCAAAGAAACTCTTTTCAGATGTATGGAACACACGGGGCAGACGCTCTCCAGTCCTACCTGTGCTGGCATGTGCACTATGCCTTCTCAAGAACCCTTTGTGTGAGCAAAAGATGGGAGGCTGGGGTTGGTATGGAGCCTGGTATGGAGCCCAGCATGACTTTTGGGACTTTTTTCTAGAACGCCCTTGGGCCACCTGGCAGCAAAGAAACTCTTTTCAGATGTATGGAACACACGGGGCAGACGCTCTCCAGTCCTACCTGTGCTGGCATGTGCACTATGCCTTCTCAAGAGCCTCGTACCTTTGTTGTAACCATTTTCTAGAAATTGGGAACCTTTTTCCCATGTATGGAACAGAAGCTCTCCAGTCCTACCTGTGCTGGCATGTACACTATGCCTTCTCAAGAGCCCTGTGCCTTTGTTGTAGCCATTTTCTAGAAATTGGGAACCTTTTTCCTGATATCTTTGGGATTGCTGATTAGAGCCATATTCCGATTCCATATAAAGACAAACTGTTGGAAAGGAGCATGGGTCTAGAAGGGCACTGAGGGACTGCTTGCTCTTTTTAGTACAGATCATTCTTTTCCATCCTAACATCTCCTACGTTGGACTGCAGCTTCCTCCATGCCTATCCACTAGAGTCATTGGATGATGCGGATCAGCTATGTTGGTTCAGAAAGGCTAGTATTATTCAGGGTCATTCCCTTTCTACAATGACCCATGAGAGTAACAGAGGTTTCAGACTATCAGCTGGAAATGTGAGCATCCTGGAGGACAGGGGGTATGACTGAGAAGTCAGGCCAGGTTGTGCCATGCATACACACCTGTCCTCCTGATAAGAGGAACAGCCAGCAGACTGCCATCATGCTCCCCAGCATGTTCTGCCTAAAGCAATCACCTATCACCTTAATAGTAGGTCTGGCCTTGGTCATGATCCTGAGTGCTGATTAGATTGGGCAGAGCAGAAGGTGGTAGCCGTATTAACCGAAGCTATGCAGAGAGATTTAGGGGATATCAGCTTCTCATTTTGTGAACTTTATGAGAGATATATGTAGGTCTTCATGCCTACACTTTTAATTCAGAAGAAATTAAGTATGAATGGCATAAATTGAACTTTACATGGCCTTTCCTGCATTTTAAAAGGTTTAAATATGTCTCGAAAGGGTTATTTACTGCCCACAGGAGCCTTAAGCTGAAATATATTGATGGTTTATTTGGTCTTTCACTTCTGCCTTGGGCCCATCCAAGTTATTGAAATATGACCACCAAGAATCTACAGCTGAATTTGGGCTGGAAGCCCTTCCTTTGCATTAAAGCATCTGCCACTTCCAGCCTCCCCATACGAATATTTAGTGTTAAATGTAGTTTAAATATAGCATCCAATTAGTCCTGCCAGAATCTGGCTCTGCGAAGTAGTTCCTTTACACCCAAGCCTGTGATAAATAGAAAGGATGCTTGCTTGTTTATTTTAAAACATGAATATTCATGGAGCAAGCCAAATATCATGGCACATTTTAACTGCTACGTAATCCTGTAGGAAATGAAGAAGGGCTAATGAATTGGAGTGATGACATGGGTCATAGAACAGTGAAGTTAGAAGGGGCCTATAAGGCCATCAAGTCCAACCCCCTGCTCGATGCAGGAATACAAATGAAAGGATATCTGCCAGGTAGTTGTCTAAGTTTCACTTGAATGCCTCCAGTGTTGGAGCACTCACCAACTCCCGTGGTAACTGGTTCCACTCTCATACTACTCTTCTAGTTAGGACGTTTTTCCTGATATTCAACTGAAATCTGGCTTCCTTTAACTTGAGTCCCATTGTTGCATGTCCTGCACTCTGGGATGATAGAGAACAGATCCTACCCCTTCTCTGTATGGCAGCCTTTCAAATATTTGAAGTGCTATCCTATCACCCCCTCAGTCTTCTTTGCTCAAGGCTAAACAGGCCCAATTCTTTCAGTTTTTCCTCATAGAGCTTGGTTACCAGTCCCCTGATCTCCTTGTTGCCCTCCTCTGAACTTGTTCCAATTTGTCAGCATCATTCTTGAAGTGTGATATCCAGAACTGGACACAACACTCAAGGTAAGGCCTAACTAGTGCTGAATAGAGGGGGACTAGCACCTCACAAGATTTGGAAACTATACTTCTGATAATGCAGCCTAAAATACCATTGACATTTTTGTAGCCACATCACACTGCTGGCTCATATTTAGCTTGTGATCTACAACAATTCAAAGGTCCTTCTCGCTTGTAGTATTGCTGAGCCAGATATCTTGTAACTGTGCAATTTGTTACTTTTTCTGGCGTGCAATACTTTGCACTTCTCCCTGTTAAATTTCACAGTGCTCCAGCCTATCAAGATCATTTTGAATTTAGTTTCTGTCTTCCAGGGTATTAGCTATTCCACTGAGTTTTGTGCAGTCTGCAAATTTGACAAGCATTCCCTGCACTCCCTCCTCCAAGTGTTTAATACAAATGTCAAAGAGCACCAGATCCAGGATTGAGCCTTGGGGTACCCCACTTGTTACGTCCTTCCAGTTGGAGGAGCCATTAATCATCACCTTCTGAGTATGATTCTGCATTCACCTGACACTTCATCTATCCAGCCCATACCTAGTTAGCTTGCTAATTAGGATATCATGGGGCACCTTATCAAAAGCTTTGCTAAAATGAAGATATACTATATCTACAGCATTCCCTTTGTCTATGAGAGAGATGCCTGATCAAAAAATGAGATCAGATTAACCTGGCAGGATTTGTTCTTGACAAATTCCTGTTGGCTTCTAGTTATCACTGCAGTGTTTTCTAGGTGCTTGCATAGTGACTGTTTTATAATTTGTTACAGAATTTTCTGTAGTTCACAGATTCCTACTTTTTTGCCTTTTTTGAAGACAGGGACATTAGTCCTCCTCCAGTCCTCTGGCACCTCACCCATTTCCCATTATTTCAATAAAATAATGGACAGCAGTTCTGAGAGTTCTTCAGCCAATTCCTTCAGTATTCGGATGCAGTTCATCTGGTCCAGGAGATTTGAACTCGTTCAAAGTGCTAAGGTATTCCTTGACTTTTTGTCTATCAATCTCCAGCTGCAATCCTGTCCCCTCCACTTTCACATTTGTCTGGAAGTTCATAGTCTGACCTATGGGAAAAGACTGAGCTAAAATATGAATTGAGCACCTCTGCATTTTCTTTGTCTTCTGTCATTATCCTTACATTTCCATTGAGTAGGTGTGCCATATTTCTTTTCTTTGTCTTTTGCTTTACACATATCTGAAGAATGCTTTTTGATTGCTTTTAGTGTCTCTAGCTAATCTCAGCTCATTCTCAGCTTTTGCTCTTTTAATGCTATCCCTACATTACCTTGCTACTTGTCTGCACTCGACCTTGATGACCTGGCCTTCTTTCCACTTCCTATAGATGTCTTTTTTCAGGTCCTTCCTGAGTTTTTTGTGAAGCCACACTGGCCTTTTTTGCTGTCTCCCACCTTTTTGTTGTTAGAATTGTCTGTAGCTGTACTTTTGGAATTTATTTTTTAAGAAACTCCCACTCCTTTTCTTGTTAGGATCTCCTCTTACTCATCCTTCTTCTGAAATTATTAACATGGCCTTTAAAAAAATCCAGCATATATGTGTGACTATACAGTGGTGCCTCGCAAGACGAAAGTAATTCGTTTTGTGAGTAGCACCGTCTTGCAAAATTTTCGTCTTGCGAAAAGCAGTTTCCCATAGGAATGCATTGCAATGCATTCCTATGGGAAACCTCGCAATACAAATTAATTATTTTCGTCTTGTGAGGCATCAGTCTTGCGGAAAAAAATTCGTCTTGCGAAGCATGGCCATAGAAGAATCCGTCTTGCGAGTCACC